TGGGTTTGTGGGCTTAGGGGGCTCGGGGTTTCTTCAGGGTCCATGGGTTCGGGGGTTTGGGGTCAAGGGTAGGCATCGGACCCTAAACCCTAAACCCTAAACCCTAAACCCTAAACCGTTTAGGGTTCAGGACTTTGAGGTTTAGTAGAGGTTTGGTGCTTGCAGAGTCGAGGTTTGACACGGAGTATGGTGCTACTTCCAGGACGGATCCCTCAACCCCAAAGCCAAAAGCTATCCCAGGACCCTAAACCCTAAACCATATAGGGCCCAGAGTTTAGGGCTTGGGTTCCGTCATGTTGTTGTTCTTCTTCTGGACACGAGAGCTGCCCATAGAAAGCCCCTGGCCGTAGCCATTGTCAGTTTTAGGGTTTAGGGTTTAGGGTTTAGGGTTTGGCACTTATGGTTTTGTGAATCGAACGTGTCGTCACTCCGCCTCGTCGTGGCAAAAATTGAGGCCGTCGGCATCTTGATTTTTGGGGTCTGGCCATTAGTCCCCCAAACCCGAAGCTCCCTAAACCCTAAACCCGAAGCTCTACACCTTAAACCACAACCTAAACCCTAGACTCTAGACCCTAAGCCCTAAACCCTAAACCCTAAACCCTCGAAACTGAATCGCCGAGCGGCTTTGGTCTTGAGGAGGTTGGCTTGAAGCTTCTCTGCCTCCTTCTTGACCTCCGCACTTGGAACGCAATCTTAGGGCTCCCGGACCTTGGTTTAGGGTTTCGGGTTTAGGGCTCCCGGACCTTTGCGTTTGGGATTTTGGACTCGGGGTTTCTAGATTTGGTGAAAGGAAACTGCAGGTGGGGAGTTTCACGTATATAAACCTTCTATAAGGCTTCTTTAAGGTATATAGACCTTCTATGAGGCTCCTACAACGGCAACTACCCACCTGAAAATGTCCTAGACCTAAACCCTAAACCCTAAACCCTAAACCCCTAAACCATAAACCCTAAGACTTGACATCTTGAAAGGGCCTGCTCACAAGCGCTCCCGGGATATCGGACTCGTGGTCTGGAAGGCTGCATTTCGGACTTAGGGGTAAAGGCCGTCCTGATGATTGGAGAGGGTTTAGGGTTTAGGGTTTAGGGGTAAAGGCCGTCCTGATGATTGGAGAGGGGTTTGGGGAGCTAGACGATCAAACAGTTAAGGCGGACTCTTACAGGATACTAACCATTTCTAATGCTTCAGACCTCTATTTAAAGTCTCATAGAACAAGAAGCTCATAGAACCCGCAAAAGAACCCGAAACCCTAAACCCCTAAACCCTAAACCCAAAGCCCGTAACGAAAACCCTCAGAGGTCTTCCCGCCTGGCCAATCTCGTCCAGCACGGCCCGCACCGCTGCGACGCGGGAATCGGCGGCGGCCGCAGAGGTGATAACGGCCACGGAGCCTACCGCCTTGGTTAAAGGAAACTACAGGGTGGGGAGTTTAGCGTTTAGGGGTTAGGGCTTTTAGGGTTTAGGGTTTAGGGTTTTGGGGTTTGGGGTTTCGGGTTTGGGATTTAAGGGCTACCGCCTTGGAGAGAAAGGCATGTAATATAGAGGCTTTGAACGTTCGAACAGAGTTTGGGGCCTCTTGTACTATAACAATAATACTAACCATAGTCATCATCATCAACAACAACATAACAGATTCAACAACAATAAGGATAACAACAAGAAAATGATGAGAAGACTAAACATCCCCAAAGAATTGTATTGGTTACGATTCCGGCCTTCATAACGAGACTACGAATCCTACTGTTTGGCATCTATACTAGAGTCCCTTCTTGCCTCAAGCACTCCTTATGTTGTGCCGGGTTTATGAATCTTATGTGGATGACGAGCCTTCAACATGTTCAACCTCACTGGGTTCTTATGGAAACTCCTATTCTCAAATCCAGAAACTTCTGTAGCAAACCAGCTTATGCCCCCAGCTAGAATCTTAGACTTTGAACCGCGAACATCGAATCCGAAACAGATTAAAACACAACCACCCTAAACCGTAAACCCTAAACCCTAAACCCTAAACCTAAAACCCTACACCCTAAACCCTAAACGCTGCCGGTCGCCTGCGGCACCGGTGCTCCTGGCGCAGCGCCGGAGCGCATCTCCGGCGCCACCTCCGGGGCGCCGGGGACCTCGGGGTTTAGGGTTTAGGGTTTAGGGTTTAGGGTTGAGGGTTGAGGGTTTAGGGTTTAGGGTTTAGGGTTTAGGGTGGGTCCCACGCCTAAGGGGCTTCATTCCTAAACCCTACACCCTGAACCCTAAACCCTTGTGACAACCCTGAACCCTAAACCCTAAACCCTGAACCCTAAACCCTGAACCCTGAACCCTAAACCCTTGTGACAACCCTGAACCCCAAACCCTAAACCCTAAACCCTGAACCCTGAACCCTAAACCCTTGTGACAACCCTGACCCTAAACCCTAAACCCTGAACCCTAAACCCGAAACCCTGAACCCTAAACCCCGAACTCCAAACTCTGAACCCGAATTGACGGCATCGGGTTTTCGAGTAGAGCTCAGGCTTGGGGGTGCGTGTTCAGGGAGGGTTTCAGGATTTTTGTGCGCCGTTTAGGGTCCTGGGGTTCTCTAGGGAATACATACTTTGTTGGAGTAAGGTAGGGGCCTTAATTTGGAGTAAGGTAGGGGCCTTAATAATTAGAATAGGGTTTTTGGGGTATATTATGCCATCATTATAATAAGGAGCCCCCAAAAAGGTATTGGTAATTATTATTTTAGCCCCTATATTAGGGTTTTGGGGTGTCAAAGGATGTTCATAAAGGGTCTGGGTTGTGTGTAAGGGTTCCATGAGGCTTTCAATAAGGGGTTTTTGGGGTTGGCAAAACACGGTCTCGTAAAGGTGGTTCAGGTTACGAGGGTTGTATAATGGCGTTAGAAGGGCTTCATGAGGACAAGGTCGCAGGATTTCTATTCGGGTCTCATACGGCTGTCCACAGGTTTCATGAAGGGTTTTCAAGCGGGCTGCATGAGGGTTCTAGAAGGGCTTCATGTACGAACTTCATGCGTCTTCATAGGGATGTTGCTTCAGAGCGTAGGGAGTGGGGCATTAGAGGTTTGGAAGCAGTGTGGCTCTGGGCATAGGGTTTAAGGCTTGTTTAAGAGTTTTTTTGTAAAGTGCACTGCGCCCCTTTTCTGTGCAAAATAAGGTTTAGGGTTTAGGGTTTAAGGTTGAGGGTTCAAGGTTTGGCGTTCAAGGCTTAGGGCTTCGAATCCTGGAAGGGGTTTCGCGGGTCGACAGGAAAATTCTACAAAGCTTGCTTGGGGAGGTTGATTCCAATATGGTTGTTAAACGGGTTGAAGAAGGGCAGCAAGGTTGTACAAGGGCCCTGCAGGGTTTTGATGAGGAGTTGGCTTTCGTGACGCTTCGCAGGAGTTGCTTTCTAGGAGTGTTGTGCGGTGTTAATGGGGCCTAAACTCTAAACCCTAATCCGTAAAGCCTGAGGCCCTAGAGCCCTAAACCCTTGTAATATAGGGGCCTAACTAATTACCAATACTATTTTTTGAGGGGGGTCCTTATTATAAGTATTGTATAAAAGGGCCGCAAAACCCTGTTCTAATTGTTAAGGCCCCTATATTCGGTCTCACTCGTCATGAGGCTCACCCGTGGCCACACATCCCAGCTATGAGATCTCCTTAAGATGTACCTACCAGAATAGGTCTCCTGTGATGGTATCTTTTAGGTCAATTATTATGATTATAGGATATCATGTGGGCAGTTCTCTAAATTAGGGGTCCCCAATATAGTACGGCACCCATATAAAAGGGACCCCCCAAAGGGACCCTAATTTAGAGAATTACCCATGTGATTCCACCTATATTAAACCATTTACAGGACACAAGTTCACCCAAACCCTAAACCCTAAGCCCTAAACCCTAAACCCTACACCCTAAACCCTAAACCCTAAGCCCTAAACCCTAAACCCTAAACCCTAAACCCTAAACCCTGACCTGGCCTCCTCGTCCTGCAGACGCATCTGTGCCTGGAGCGCTTGAGCCAAGGACTCATGGGCTTTAGGGTTCAGGGTTCAGG